CTCTCTCTCTCTCTCTCTCTCTCTCTCGCTCTCTCTCTCTCTCTCAGACTTCCCCATTAGGTTTCTCTTCCTGCAGTTTATGTTGAGTTAATGGTTGCTCACCTTTTAATGTTGTCAGCCCGGGGTTTTCTTTTGAGGAGGTGAAGAGGGGAGGGCAGGTCTGGTTGAGATCAGAAACCGACAAGGACTCTTGAGGATGTTCAGGAACATGAAAGGCCGACGTCTCTCAGAGAGCAGAGGCTACGTGGAGAGCTTCAGAAGCCAGAATGCACTCTGCAGGAGACAGGGCTTTCCATGCGAAGGATTTGGAATCGTACGTTTTTTGATTCAAAAACGTCAAGAGTAATCCTGTCGAAATGAATGCCTGGACATGTTTACACAGCTGTTCAATTACCCCTGTGCTGTAGCTGTCTTTATGTCTTTGCATTTGGTGAGAAGTGTGTTTATTGGGGTAATAATGTGATCGTGTGGTTTGATTTAAATGATATTATTCTCAGTGAATTCATACTTTTACTAGCATAAAACCAAACTTAAATGTTATAAATAAATACAAAATCTGTTTATTTCTTTAACCTTCTCTTTTTGTTCTCTATTTTTCTACCCCCTACTATTATTTCCCACTTCTCCCTCTCTCTGTGTGCTGCTCTCAGCGGGACGCAGTGCTGCTTACACTTAGTCCTTGTTAATGGCTTTATGCCCTCTAGACTCTGCAGCTATAGACTGTCTTCCTGTCAAACCTAACCTTAAACACACACACACACACACACACACACACACACACACACACACACACACACACACACACACACACACACACACACACACACACACACACACACACACACACCTAAACTTGCTGTCAAATATGTTTTACTGAAATAGTTTGGCATGAACACGTATTCTGCCCTTGAGTACTTGGAGATGTTCTCTGTGTGTGTGTGTGTGTGTGTGTGTGTGTGTGTGTGTGTGTGTGTGTGTGTGTGTGTGTGTGAGATTGTGTAGCTTGACATCCTGCTGGAGTTCAGATATCTCGTTGTCCTTGAAGTAAACAGGAAGAGGGCGAAAAGATTGGAGAAAGGGACGTAAGAGCTCAAATAAAGAAGGACCACTCACAGGAAAGAGTGAACTCCTA